TGTGTGTGTGTGTGTGTGTGTGTGTGTTTCTCAATACCAATCAGACAAGAGACAGACATCAACATGGGTCTGATACAAAATAGACCTTTTAGTCAACCTGCATGAACCCTACGTGAGAAAATCCATTTTCAAAACAGGAGTCCCAGTCTGAAAGGGAGCCCTGGGGAGAGTCTGACCTGATTTGAAATGTGCCTCATGAAAACTGACCCAAACAGACGGAGATCACCGCCGACAGGGACGTGTGATTACAATTAATGAGCAGGGTCGGTTAGAAAGAGACACATGACGTTTCATAATCTCCGTCTCAGCGAAGATTAAGTTGCATAATCTGAGCCGACAACACGAATGTCATGGTTCATGGTTCAGAACTTCACAAATCACGACATCACCCTTTCATTACTTTGAAAGGGTTTAAAGTGTTTGAGCGAGCCGACAGGAAGCAGACTGAAGGCCGTCCTCTCTGACACCTTGTCCTCCGCGTCTTCTTGTCTCTCCTCGTCTCCTTTCTCTGGTTTCTCCTCCTCTGATGACATGAACACGCAGAAGTGTGTGTTTTTAGCAACAGCCCACCGTGAGGTTAAAACACAAGTTCATCGCTAAAAGTTGTTTCCTCTCTGGGACTGGGGCCGTAAGATTTTAACAAATACCATATCTAATTCCTGTTTCAGTCGCTGGATGCAATCAACGTCAGATAATGTGATGATTCAGAATATAATGAAACTGCCCTTGAAGTCGGCAGAAAAAAGAAATCATCAGTTTAGCACGTCTCCACTCTCATATTGCAATAATTTAAAAAAAGAGACGACCCTGATTCAATAATTATATTTGCTCAAAGAACGGATTGTAAGAAAGAACTTCAGCATCAGTAACCAGCAGAGTGAGGTTACCTGTGAGCCCGGGGACCAGGGCGTGTGAGGAGAACAGGCGTTATGACAGCGAGAATGTTAGTTATTGTATTTTTAGCGACTTAACTTCCTCCCTCTTGCGACCTAAACCTTCAAATGTGATAAGTCCAGGAAGTCGCAGCCATTCATCTTGAGTTGTCATCTCACTTGAAGCAGCGAAAACACTGCAGGAGAAATGGATCAAATATCACAGCGATAAGTCGATAAGAGATATATTACATTTTTAATGTTTGCTCTACCTGTCGAAAAAATGTGTCAGCTCAAAGATATTTCCACAGATTAATTTTTCAGAACAACCTCGCAGCTTCTGTCGAAGGGATGATATTATACCTTCTAGACAATTCATTCTCCTGCTCTGAATGAACTTAATTGTCTAGTTTGATCTTAAACCTTTGTCTCCGTCTCAGTTTGTCTCTCTCTCACTCTGGTTTCCTCCCTCCCGTCATTATCAATGAATTGCTTGGTGAGGCTCGTTGACACCTGAGGGCCACGTCCCAACAAGCGGAGCGGTATTCCACTCGTATCAATTTCCTGTCAGAGGCACATATAGTTTGAAAGGGAGGTTAATGGCTGAGACTGGGAGCAAGGGAGCGGCGCGGATCGATCCGAGTATTTACAGGCTCGGCCTGTCGCTCGCAGGGAGACAGTTAGACACAGTTATACCAGGAACAGACTTCACACACTCTTACATTCTCTGAATGATTTCTGCTGTTTGGCTTCGACGTGAACTCTTGAGTCTTTAAGGAGAAGAACCGAAGACATTTTCATGAATATGCCAGTGAATAATTTATGGATCTTAAAGAAAGTCCTTTGTGTGCCAGCAGGATTACTACTGCACCGATTTAACCATAAAGGTTGGAAGAGGTTATGACTTGGCGTAGGTTTGCTCTCTCCGAACTGTTCACGTGAGGTAACCAGTGACAGTGTAGAACCCCTAAATTTGAGATAATATAAAATGTCATTTTTCCAAACGTCCAGGTGAAGCCACCACATATTTCAGGGCCAAATTGTGGAAAGTGCATTCGACTGGTTGATTAAATTACCTGAATCAGACTGATTGTGTTTATTGCCGACGACCAGAATGAAGTATAAAGTAAATCTGGCTACAACAAAGGTAGAGTGGCAGAGAAGATTCTGAGGTCAGTCCGGGCCTTATCTCCCTTTTGTTCTTGTGTCCAAATACTTTAGTCACTGTAGTTTAAAGAAGAACTGCGTTATACATCCAAGGTGAGCTTAGGTTACATGTAAGAGATCACAGATCCTCACAGTCAGGTGCAAGTTTATATTTCATTCCAACTGTTGGAAGCAATACAGTTAAAATAAAATTGCTTTCCTTCAGGACGAGGCTGCAAAACCTGAATATAATCATTCTTTTATTACGTTCAGGGTCTTTGTTTAGCAACACACACACACACACACACACACACACACACACACACACACACACACACACACACACAAAGAGCTGCTGCTTATTAAAGCAGTTTGCCCTGTGCCCCGCGAGGAGTCGGCTGAGGTTGTGTTGTTAATGCCAGGTGCTGCAGACAGACGTGTGGCGTTAACGGGTCACGTATAAACAAACACTCACAACAAACCATCACGGCGCTGAAATTAATGACCACATCTGCACCAGAAGGGCAGAGGGAATAAAAGACTTTAAAAGCCGAGCAATGAATCCTCCTCCTGACCTCCACCTCAACGACCAAACAGGTCTCCACCAGGATTCACACCAAGAAGATTACAAATTTATCTGCTCTTAACACCCGAGATTATCTTCTCTGGTTTGTATCATTGTGAATCTCTGCAGCACTTCGAAGGCGTCACCTTGGACTCTTACACAGTGCATATCTCCGCCAAGGCCCAACAGACACTTAAATACAGTCAAGCTGCACCAAATTCAACATTTCTTGCATCAATATCAATGAATTATTCTCTGAGAAATCAACAAAAATGGTAAAAAAAAGCTGTATCCACCCCTGATCTAAAATGTAATGGGTCCCTCTCTGTCTCAAGCCGCATCCTTCCCCATGTTTTGTGGTCATCTGTGCGTTAGTTGTGCGTTATCCTTCTAATTGACGCTCGTACTCCACTGGTCAAAAAAAACAAAACACTTATCACCAGCTAACATCTGGCTTTTGTCTTCAATGGGATTGGATACAATCGACTTTCCCTGCTGGGTGAAATGACTTTTCCACAGGCCCAAGTTTCAGTCAGCTGTGGTTCCCATCAGCCGTGACCCTGAAACTTGACACACGGGTGAACAGGCTAACTCGACGAGACAGCGAGGTGAGAGAGCGCCTCGTTGTGTTTGTGA